GAGACCTCTGATATATGATTGGTATGGGCAATATGCCATGAGACCTCTGATATATGATTGGTATGGGCAATATGCCATGAGACCTCTGATATATGATTGGTATGGGCAATACGCCATGAGACCTCTGATATATGATTTGCATGGGCAATAAGCCATGAGACCTCTGACATATGATTGGTATGGGCAATACGCCATGAGACCTCTGATATATAATTGGTATAGGCAATACGCCATGAGACCTCTGATATATGATTGGTATGGGCAATACGCCATGAGACCTCTGATATATGATTGGTATGGGCAATACGCCATGAGACCTCTGATATATGATTGGTATGTTCAATACGTCATGAGACCTCTGATATATGATTGGTAAATGAATAGAACGATATATGTATGGAAGATGAATAGATCAAGGTAGAATGAAAAAGTAAATGACTATGACGTGATAAAAGATGATTATGGTAATGTAGTTCTAAAAACTAGATCACATTAAAAATATTTATATTTTTTACTTTTGAAATATGTACGCTTGTTTTAAAAATACAGAGACCAAAGTTATGCATTAATTATTTTACTTTTAAAAGGTATATAATGCAGGAATTAGTATGTCTAGTTGGTTCATGCATTATTTAAAGCAGTGGATGTGCTTCATCGTGTAAGAAATCCACTATGATAAAATATACCTAAATTTCAAGCAATTTGTGAAGTAAAAGCTATTGATAGGAATCTGCATATTATGTTTAAATGTTACACTTTGCATTTAACGAAACATCAAAAGTAGATTTAACAAAATATCGATGTACAATTAACAAAAATTAAAAGTAGATTTAACAACACATCTGAAGTAGATTTAACGACATATCTGAAGTAGATTTAACGACACATCTGAAGTAGATTTAACGAAATATCTGAAGTAGATTTAACGACATATCTGAAGTAGATTTAACGACATATCTGAAGTAGATTTAATGACATATCTGAAGTAGATTTAACGAAATATCTGAAGTAGATTTAACGACATATCTGAAGTAAATTTAACGACATATCTGAAGTAGATTTAACAACACATCTGAAGTAGATTTAACGACATATCTGAAGTAGATTTAACAACACATCTGAAGTAGATTTAACGACATATCTGAAGTAGATTTAACGAAATATCTGAAGTAGATTTAACGACATATCTGAAGTAGATTTAACAACACATCTGAAGTAGATTTAACGACATATCTGAAGTAGATTTAACGAAATATCTGAAGTAGATTTAACAACACATCTGAAGTAGATTTAACGACATATCTGAAGTAGATCTAACGAAATATAGATGTCGATTTTAAAAAAAAAATAATAATAAAAAGTTCTCAAAAGAAGGTCTATCAATTTGGGACTTTGATTTTTCTCAGCTTGCATCGTTAAGTTGTGTCATTTTGAAAAAGAAATAGAAATGTAAAAACCAAACTCAGCAAGTCTTAGCATTTAAGGCCATTAATCTAAGACACATTTGGCCTATTCACGTTCTGAGCTTTAGAAATATTAATCTATAAAAAGCATAAGAAAAATCATGACATTCCATTACACGCATGATGTACGCAGCTCAATGAGGGTGATCAGATGTGTCGAGTGGTTTCAATGCAGCGGTAGCAATTGATCAACCAAAACAATTAGACGCGAAGCTAGGATTAATGCAAAATCTTCCATCGAAATAAAAGCCTCTGCACTAGGCCGAAATTGCACCCCTTCCACACTTATTACGTCAAAAAAAATGAGCAACAGGAACAGACCCCACCATCGTAGCCCAGTCGTGTGACAATGCTTACAAACAAAGCAACACGCGTCTAGACATGTGCCGGGTGTTATTTAAAGCGCTGATTAGGTTCTATACTAATTGGATTTGTAAAGTCGACATGGTCTGGTGACTTTCATGGGTTTTTTCTATTCAAAATGTAGCAATCTGCTTTTAAAATAGATAGATCCTAGTTATGTAGGAATTGGCTACATGACGTTGCTATGGTTTATTGCAAATGAACTAGCTAGATCTGTTTAGATAGTCCTCAGAGGGGTTACAGTAATATTTAAGCCACCGTATCTTAAACGCCCATGGCTTAGTAGAAGTTGTTGTAAATGGTCTTCTACTTGTGTTGGCTTAGTAGGCGTTGTTGTAAATGGTGTTCTACTTGTGTTGGCTTAGTAGACGTTGTTGTAAATGGTGTACTACTTGTGTTGGCTTAGTAGACGTTGTTGTAAATGGTGTTCTACTTGTGTTGGCTTAGTAGGCGTTGTTGTAAATTGTGTTCTACTTGTGTTGGCTTAGTAGACGTTGTTGTAAATGGTGTTCTACTTGTGTTGGCTTAGTAGACGTTGTTGTAAATGGTGTTCTACTTGTGTTGGCTTATTAGACGTTGTTGTAAATGGTGTTCTACTTGTGTTGGCTTAATAGAACTTGTTGTAAATGGTGTTCTACTTGTTTTGGCTTAGTAGAAGTTGTTGTAAATGGTGTTGTTGTGGATGGTTTTGTTGGATTTATTAGATATATAATT